TTAAAGAGAGAAAAAAGATTTAAAAAGGAAAGAAGGAAGATAAAAAAAAAAAAAAAAAGAAAGTACAGTTGAGGGGTATTTACCTATAACAACGCATAACGATCCCTTTTGCTGCCCCCGTAGGGCCTTGTACTTGCATTATGCATCCAAAACCCTTTAAAAATGTGCCTCTTGCTGTCATAATTACAATTAGCCTCAAAGTTAAAGTTATATTACCATATGCACATAGCAAATCCCATGAGGTCACATTATTAAGCTACTCAAAGCATCCTCTCTTTTTCTTCCTCTAAGTTTTCATCCGAGTTTGTTTTACCCACAGTGATTCCACCTAATTCAGGCTGATCCATCTGCTGCACAGTTAATATACTTACACAAGTGCCCTGGGAGCCCTTACAGGACTGCTTTAGAAGACAGATGTATAAACACACTAAGATGGCATCATCAGAGAGATGATGCCTGCTTTATTTTGCCATGAAAAGTGCTAATCTACAAGTTCCACTTTGGGTGTGGAAGGGGGACTTAACATTAAGTTTAGCAGAAAATTGGGGGCCTGACTATAATATATATATATATTTATATATATATATACACACACACAGATGTTTATATATATATTTAACTGCCTGACTTAACACAATGATTTTCAACCTTTTACTTAAAAAATGAAATACTGGGAAGCACCCACCCCCACCACCCACTGGTTAATAAGTCTTCGCTCATCCTGTTTGGAATTAATTATTTATTGCAAGGCAGTGAGTCTAGGAAAGCACATGGCTGGGTTTGACGGACACAGAGTTAATGGTTCGTGAGCAAGTGCCTAGCAAAGCATTTAGGGAAACAGTGTGCAGAGTTGCACCTCAAAGGCAGAGCACACAGTGACTCACTGGGCAAACAGGCGGCCGGGCAACGCGAGCGCGGCCGCGACACGCCGGGGCCTCGCACGGAGTTCCCAGCGCCCAGAAAGCCCCAGCAAACGCCACTGGCCAGGCCTGCAAAAGGGCACGTGCACCGTAAGGAAAGGCAACATGTGGGAAGGAAAAACGGCTCGAGCTGGCGGCACGTGTGGGGTGGCTCCTTTGGGGCAGCGTGAGCCCCACTGGGGCCTTCGGAGGCCAGAGCAGGATGTGAATCACAGTGGGGAAGAGGAAGGAGCGGGAGATTTGTTCCCAAGTGGCACTTGTGGCCTGCCCACATCCCGGACACGGCCTCGCCTGGCATTTCGGTTGAATCCACACGGAAAGACACCCCGAATGAGCCGGGGCTCCGTCCTGGGGAGCCCTCAGCCAGGGGCTAGCTCAGCCTTGGGGAGAGGAGCCCAGCGAGCCGGCTCTGGTATCGGACACAAATCGGCTTGGAAGCAGCTCATTCCCTAGCACAGCTTGCACAGAGGTTAACAGTCCCTTTCCACCAAGGGATTTCCCTTGTCTGGCAACATAATCATCTTCCCAAGCAAACGCTACCAAAAATCTAACACTGGAGCKCTCGCGCTCTTAATTAGGAGCAAATTGCTGATATTAACTCTCCACAGCCAGTCCAAGCAAATTTTATTTTCCCCTCAGTAAAGTTTGCAAATTGAGGAGCTCCTGAACCAATTACCCTCTAGCTGCAAGGGTATCTTCCACACAAACCGCTTCCTTGTACAAACTCTATTTATCACTCTTGTAATGATAAGCCCYAGTCTCTCATACGTGTCAGCTATCAGGAATTCATTATTTTGTCTGTGTTATGTTATACCAGTCGGGAGTTATCTTTGCAGCCCACAGGCTAGAATCCAAACCCAACGTGTCAGCTATTTAAAGAAAAAAGAAGCCCTCCTCCAGTAATTTAATTAACTTTCAGGGATCACRGCTGAGTTTCAGTGCGCGAAACTGCTGTGGAAAATATGATCGAAAATTATCAGTCAGAAAATAAACTTAAGAACAAAGTTCCTTTCCTGGTATAATCCATGTGCCTAATCTGATTTTAATAAACCTTTTCCTAATGCTAGAAGCACAAGATTTAGACTTAGGACTGTCAATCTCCACGTCAGTGCAGTCCCATCTCTTTCATCGAACTACAAAGCCAAATAATGCTATATACCCCTGCACATCTACCGTGGTGGATGCTGAGGCTATAGCCTAAATACAATTAAAGCATTAATTTTTGAAGGACGTCAGAAGTTTTACTTTGCCTGTTTATATATAAGTACCAGACTGAACTCTTATTATGCTTATCTGTCAAGATATCAGCCTTAAGAATTAAAACWAAATGAAAGATCTAAAATAGATCACATATCCTTTTCCGCAGAAGTTAGATGGTTCCAGAAGCTGCAGCTTGAACTGAGAGAATCTTTAAGATTCTTTAGAGAGTTTAAGAAATTATCATTTTAACTATGATTGTGGCTTTTTCCCCTGCTGTATCATTTATAAATTAGACAGTGTTACTAGTTCAACTAAGGAACACAAATTCAAAACTACCACTAATATTAATGGCTCACGTTTTGTGTTTTGCAAGGGCTGGGYTGATAGGACCTCAGCTTGCAATGAGGCAGCCCGTAAGGGAAAGGCACCSACGGGGCCCGAGAGCAGACAGGAGCAGAACACCGAAGGGAACAGGCCAGGCCATTTCCCAGGGAGGCTGTGGGTTGCAGCACCCGGACAGACTTCCTGCAAATAGCTGACATTTCTGGAGGAAACTCCTGCCCTTCTAAGCCCTGGGCTGCTGTAAACCAGGGATGTGTCTTGCGGGGTGTCACCACAGCACCTTCTCGTAGACCTCTCCATCACATGTGGTCTAAGGATCTTGGCCGGGATCACGGGCTCCGTAAACAGGAAAAGGACGCAGGCCATCCGAGACAGACGTGCTGCATGGCCCGAGCTGCACTGGCCACAGTGCCGTCCTCGCCATGGCTCCTCATGCAGCCGGCAGCAATTCCAGCTTGCAAGGCAAGAAAGGCACCTACACAGCAGACACGCTGTGGGCATCGTTTTCAAGCACGCACTTAGGAGCCTACAAAGCRTCAAGGGGGGTGTCTTACCTCACTCGCTAACCCCTCCTGCTGAACAGGGAGCCTGTCCTTGCCCCACAGCCCCAGCCAGGCCCTCATGCCCCGGCTGGGTTTCACCTGCAGGGCTAAAGTCCAGGGGTCCTGATGCTGTCAGCGCTACCAGCCCCTCCAGCCTGATCTCTGAGGTGTACAAGTTGGGAGTTTTTACTTTCCCCCACTGCCCACGTGTCAGGTTTGCGGGCTGAAAATAAACAGATTTCAAAAGAATGTGCTCGCCCACTCAGCRCGGACAGGGCGGCTCTTTCTGAGAAGATTGCTGCCCTTTTCCACTGTGGCACTAGCTGGGAACTGGAGCAGCAGACTGGGGAAAGGGTTTGCCCAAGCTGCAGGATTTCCAAATATCCATCGCCTGGTATTGGGCTGTGTTTTCACACCTGAAGGCACTGCACTGTGTGCAGGATGTGCCCCGAAAAGCTCCCTGCTGGGAGTGAGAAAAAGTGGCTGTGCTGAAGTCCTCAGCTTTGTCCGGACTGGTCCCTTTTCCATTCGCAGAAAGCTAACCTCCAGGACTTGAGGCAATTCCTGTATCTACTGCAAGTTCATTCGGCACTAATCCTATATAAAAAGTTAACAAACATGCTCTCACGTAAGCAGAAATGGCGCAACAGCCGCATTCCAGAAAGTGATTCAAAATGGTATTTCCAAACAACAGCATACGGTGAAGACACCAAACCCAAGACACCCCAACCGGGGACAGCCGCACCGCACAACCGGCAGTGTCCCCTGGAGAACAAGCTCTTATCGGGGGCGAGCCTGGCAGGGCAGACTAGCCACAGGTATCTGACCAAGACAGGCCTCAATTAAGCTGGTTGCTTTATCACTGGTGGCCCAAATAACTTCAGGCAATAGGTAGAAATGAATTCCTTCATTTCTGGTGCACTCCAGAGCAGCTGCCCATGCTCACTTGGCGTGGAGATGCAATACCCAGGCTCCTGCAGTTGTTGCAGCTAAGTCTGCTGCAGAGGCAACTGTTAGGGGAGGAGAAGCACTTGGGGAAGGAAATCCCTTCTGTGGCACAGCCTTCTCCCCTCCAGTTCTCTTTAAACACTTTGGAAGCTAATCACAAGCAATCTTGTCAGCTGAGGTATGCAAAATAACCATGTACACGCATCTTGCACAAGTGAAGCAATACTTCAAACCCTGTTTATTGTAAATGCTGGGGAGAGTCAGGGTTAAGTTTAAACCACATGAGGAAGGTTTAAACCACAAAGAGTTTTTAACCTGAACCTCTTGGCTTAGGAACCTGTACCAGGCTAAGGAGCACATGCCACCGGTTGCTGCAGCTTGGCAAATTGCTTCTCGACAAGTGAGCTGCAGTCATTTGAGGTCTGTGGCTACCTGTCCATAAACTGAATTAAGCTTACGGAGCAGCTGCAAAATCAGCACGTTTCTTAAAAGCTGTTGTAGCCAAAGCGTAAAGACACAGCTCTTCCTCCACAGAAACTCAGCAAGCAGTAAAATATTAACGTGACCAAAGCTGACCCTTTAAATCTCTATTTGTTTAGCGAGCTGTTCCTAACCGAAGGTCTCTTACCTTGGCTCCTGCAACCCACCTCCCATCCTGCCGGGACCATTTCTATGGTTGGAAAGCGACTTCCCAGCTCCTACATGGCTGCTGAAGCAGCTTCAGAAGGGGAGAGCCCGCAGCCCCGGGGACACYCTGGCTAGAGCACAAGTGGCAGCTCAAGTGGGGACACGGGAGACCCRTCAGAGCAGCTGTGCGAGCACGGAGCTGGCTGGAGGGCTGAGAGCAGGGCTGAGACGGGGCTCCGGCCAAGGGAATCACACCCTGACAGACCGGGAAGGCTCCATCCAGCCTGGATTTCACTTTCTTCCCCTGCTGCTCTAGGCTGGCACTTCCCCCCACCCATTTTTCCGATTGTTCAGAACACAATGCAAAGCCAGCAAACACATCCATCACGCSCGGCAAGATTAGAAAGGAAAATGTTATTACCTGGAATAGTCGCCTTTAGCTTCCTACAATTGAAAAAAAAAGAAACAGCAGCAGAGTTAGAACGGGCTCCCTTTACAAGTCCCAGAGCTTTCCCAGCATTGTTCACTGCCCCCTCCCACCGCTCCTTGGCCAGATCCCGACTTCAACCACCCCCTCTCTGTGCCTTCTGGATGGATCTTGGCCCTTGGTGCTTCCAGCTGGAGATCATCCCCCTGCAGCACATCTAAGCCAGCGTCCAAAGAGAGGACGGATTTCTCATTCCAAATCCAATGCTGCTTTTGCTGCAGGAGAAAGGAACTACAAGTCTCTCCCCAGCCAGCAAAGGCAACAAGATGTTGGCTTTAGGAGCAGGTCAGCAGCGAAGGGGAACTGGGCTCACGTCGGATGTGAATGGTCTGATGCGAAACCACTGCAGCTTTGCCAGAGCATTTGCCCCATTTGCGAGTGGTGGGGGAGCAAAAAACTGCCCCGTCTACAAGCATGAGCTTAACTTAACATCCTTAACGTCAAGTAGCAATAATTGGGTTTTACATCTAATAATTAAAAAAGGATTAATGAGAAGAAAAATTTATGTTAATCTATTTTACTGTATCAGAAGAATAAAAATACAGGTTCTGAAAGAAACTATTCATAGGGATAATACAGCAAATTTTAGCTACGGTACTATTCTATTTTCTTACTCCCACATCTCCAGAATATGTTTAAATTAGAAAATTAAGCGTCAATTTGCAGAGAAATCTCCTGAAATTAATTACTTCCCTTGAGGAGTCTCTCTCTCCTCCCTTCCCTCCTTCAAATCCAAATTGCTCAAACAGAAATTTCTCCTGCAAGCCGAGAACAAGAGCTCACAACATTTAGATTTTATTTTAATTCTGCAGAGGCTACAAATAAGAGACTTAGCAGAGTGGGAGGGGGGTTGGGGAGGAAGAGAACCCCCCAACGCAGCCCACCTAGCGAGCCAGCCAGGCTGCTGCCGCCGCTGCAGGCTCGGGGCKAGGAGCCGTCCCGAGCGCCGGCCTTACCTGCAAGACCAGGGCTGCCAACTTGAAGACGGTCTCGCTCTCCACCTCGATGTGGCCCTGCGGACGCAAGGAGGAGAGCGTGAGGCGCGCGGGGCCGCGCTGCGGGGCCGTCACGGCGCCGCCGGGCCGAGGGGCCGCTCGTGGCGCTGCTGCTGGCGC